TACTACTACTACTACTACTACTACTACTGTTCCCCTTTATGTACAGTTTTATTTCTGCTAGCTGGCAGAGACATATTCTATGGGGACTCCTAATTTGGTTAAATAAGCCATGGAAAGGTGGAATTCATATCTTGCTTCACAAGCTCTTAAAGTGAATTTCACAACTTATTTGTTTGAGAATGCATATTTTATAATTTTCTGATTGTTTATATGCATTTATTTCAGATGCCAAACAGTATTTTTTTAAGAGTGGTTTAATTTCTGCTTATGCATGCAGCCTAATTGGGTGTGAAGCAATATTCATATTATTATTAATAAAAAATGGCAGGCACATTTAATCAAAGTTATAAAAACATTGACTGTTTTTTGTATAACAGATAAAAGTTTTAACCAAAAACCTAAGTATCTGTTATATATTGGCACAGTATGTATGGTGTTCTGCATGGTATTGCCATTTTTAAAAAGCTCTTAGGGTGTTATTTCTGAGATTTGCAGCTGATTATAATACTGTGTGAAATTCCGTGGTATTTTCCCCAAAGTCTTTGGGAGACAACAACAACAACTCACGCCATAATAGCATGCCTTCTGTTTTGAGGACCGCCTACCTTCCAGTTCTGTTGATTTTGTGAGGCATGTGTGTGGGAGAGAAGGGTATACATTTTAGAGATGTCCCGTTTCTTCCCTTAATAAACTGACAATTTGAATGACGTGTCTGCTCTCCCAAATGATCTTGTATCTCTTTAACATTTTTCAGAATTGTTAGGCACGGCCATCAGTTTTATAGAGACTTGATTATAGGACGGGTGTGAGTGGGCTGGAGACCTTAATTGACGGCAGTTTTCAGTACTGAACAAAACAAAGTAAATGTGACATGTCATTCATATGCTGCCAACCTGCTAGTCTCCTCTTGACACACACGCACACGCACACACACATACAGATTTCCAGCATGGCTGCCAGTGTCAAAACAGCAAAAGAACATTCCAGTCCTCATTTTAGAGTTTAAAAATAAGAGGAAAGAGAAGACTTTATTTTTGAATTCCTTCAATTCTTTTGAGAGATCAGTACCGTACAGGTCCCTTAGCGAGAAGAAACGGTAGCCTTTATTTCTTCACTAAATTATTTAAAAGCTATCAAAGTGCAAGAGGTTGTAATTGACGTGTAATTATTAACTCAAGGGTATTGCCTTTTGTCCTTTTGAAGTCTCTCACTAAAACTGGCTCTTGTAACACAAAAGAATAGCAAAAAAGCATAATAACATGGAACAAAATGCTTTTCCTTTTTTTAAAAAATTTGAGGCTGCCTAATTTATTCCTGCCTTTTGTATTAAAAAGCTTAAGCGTTAACTACACTTTGAAAAAAATTTAAATGGGTCACTGGGCTTTAAAAATAAAGCAAATTAAGAAACCTTGGCTGCCATCCCATACATTAACTAAAAACATGAAATAATAGAATGCAGTCTTACTTGGATTATCAGAAATATCAGAAAAATTAGCAGGAACTTGTCATCTGAACTTTTCAACCTTGACTGTAAACCACCTGTTCAGCTTCACTTAATCTTTTATGCCAAGAGTCCGTTTTTAAGTGTTCCTGTCATTTAAATGAAACACATAATTATTATGCTTGGTTTTCCAGTCTTCTGAGGTCATTTGCACCTTGGGAGCAATGCAAAGTGGTGTGTGATTTGCCTGAGAATTCTTGGACATGTAGAATTCTTGCACCTATCGGAATTTTTCTACTTCTGGGACAAGAATTGGAAAATATGTGGCCCTGTAGATGTGACTGGACTGCAACTCCTACAAGCTCTACTAGCCAGTACAGTGGTGCCTTGAGTTACAAACTTAATCCGTTCCAGAAGATGGTCGTAACTCAAATTGGTTGTAACTCAAAGCACCATTTCCCATAGGAATACATTGAAACGTGATGAATCCGTTCCAGCAGAAACCCCCCCAATAAAAAACACACTTAAAACACACTGCAAGAGCCATCAAAGCACAGAAACATAAACTCCCCAGAATCAAACAAACCCATTTCAGCAGGGACTGAAAAACACACTGCAAGAGCCATCAGAAACACGATTAATCCATTCCAACTGAACACCCCCTACTATAAAACACACTGCAAGACCCATCACAGCATAGAAACATAACCCCACCACCCAGCCCAAACCCACACTGCAAAACTCACCCAGAGCAGGGAGTTTTAAAAAAGCAAAAAGCAGTACTTTACCACGCAGTCTGAAGCTTCATCCAAACTCACACTACCTAACAGCTGGGGCGAACAAGCTACAAAGAAGCAGCGTCTTTGCCAACCAACAGTTAGCAGCTCAAATTTCCCCACCTTTTTCCCGTCAAAGCTCCGGTCACAAGTCAAAGCAAAATTTTGCAGCCGGAGCTGGCCATAAGTCAAATTGGTCGCAAGTGAGGTCGTTCGCAAGTCGAGGCACCACTGGATATAATTGTTGAAGTATAATGGGATTTGCAGTTCAGCAATATCTGGAGATCTTACCAACGCCTGATTGGTGCTGTTGGTAATATATCTCCTCCAGTTATTCAGTAGGTTCACAACTGTTGGCTTTTTGAAACTGCAGTGAATAGGACATAGTTGGAACCAAATGAGGGTGGTGGAGTGAAGCAATGGTTTAGAAGTAGTTTGTGGTTTATTTTTCAGCACCAGAAGCGTTGCTTTGTTTCTCTACATAACATAAATGTTTCATCCAAAATTTGACCATGAATCAATGAATAGTCTTTCAGACTAGTGTTTATGTGTTAAGCCAATTGAAATGTTTCAGCTCTATATGCTACTCAAGTGTATCAACCATGAATCAATGAATAGTCTTTCAGACTAGTGTTTATAAATGTGTTAAACCAATTGAAATGTTTCAGCTCTATATGCCACTCAAGTGTATCGAAAACTTTCTTGATCTTGGACACTAACTTCTAATCAACATGGGTAAGTCCTGTTGCTTAGCTTAATAAATTGCACTACAGTAGGCCCATTGAATCAATAAGGATTTTGTGAGACAACTCTTCCATAAGTTCGTTTTGATCCAATGGACCTATTCTACAATAAGCAGCAGGATCTCAACCAATAAAGTAAGCTGATTTTAATTTCAGAAACAGTATTTTAGCACTCTTAGATACATGTGATGCCCATACATTATTAACTACACATATCACTGAGTTTAAATATAAATTTAGGAGAAGCCTCTCTTTGTTAGCATTCTTCCGAAAGAGTGATAGCTTTTTCTTTTCACTGATCAATGTTGTAAGTAACCTTAATTGAGATGAAATTATGTAACATTTTTACAATGTTCTTTGTGTTTTCACAGTGAGAGAAAAACGGAAGAGTCTCTATATAAACCACGTAAGTGGAAAAAAGGAAACCTTTTTGGCTAAGTAGCATGTTTTGAATATATTTAAATCTAAAAGTCTGTTTTATACGCAAGCTACCATTATAAATATACAGCCAGTGGAATGCAGGAGATTACCTGCAAACGGAGATAGAAACTTAAGTGTCTAATATGCTATGATTCAGAAGAAGCCTGTGGCTTTTGTTCCATTTATATCCTCCTATATATAAGGGTTTAGGAAAATGGATTTTTGATGTAAGATTTTTCAGAAGGGGAGAACTAGGGAAGAACATGGGAGAACTAGGGAACTGTCTACAGTTTAAGGCATAGCTGAAGGTTTGGGTCACTTGGTCGTCAGTGTTTTAAGGTAGTATCAGATTTGAGGGTACATTTAGGTGTATGAAGGGGTGAAGAGGAACCTTAAAATCTTGTAAAATAGGTCACCCTACTCCCTTTTTATTTGTTTTACACTGTGCAGATGGATTTTGGGCTGAGCCACTCTTGTGCAGGTATTATCTTTATAAGTGTCCCTCCTTCTTCCACCAGTTCTTTAAATCTTTCACAATGTTAAGTAAAATCATTAGAACAGGGTTATTTACAAAATATGTAAAACCAGATCAGGTTTGAATAACTGAAAATTTGAGAAAGTGCAGGTGTCACTTCTCTAGAATAAAGTTGTGTGTATTATTCAAACTCCGAATGTGTTGGTCTTCTGATTTTGTTTGCAAACAGTGGTTTTATTGGGCTAGATCCAAAGCCCCAACCAGAATTTGACCACTGAATCAATGGAGCTTATTTAGTCATTAGTTGTGTAAGTCCTGTTTATTCAGTGGGTTTACTTTGCTCAGTTTTAATGTACTACTGAACTATTTTAGGAGCCTGATCTTTGTGACAACCAGATTAGAGATATTCCATAAAGTATAATGCTTTCAAATGAGGTTTTTTTTTGTCTGTGCAGATGTAGTTTCCATATCATTTAGAGCAGTGTGTTTGTAGCCACTTCTTCCATTGCTGCTCTAGTAACATGACTGTCTTCTGCATATGTTAGGTTCAGCTGCCTAATAAAATAACACACTTTGTCAGATCTGATGTCACAGCGCATAGCCAGCATAGGTGATCTCAAGAACAGGATTATGCTTTCAAGTACTTTGGAAATGTTTGTTTTCTAAACTAGTGTGGTTTTGTTTTTTTTAACTACATATATATTAAGCATTTCATCAGCTAACTAAATAACAAAGGCTACAGAATATCAATATAGCTTTGTAAAAAACCATAAGGTTTGCTTACTTTAGGATTTTACACCTACATATGTTTGTACGTATTGTAATGGCAGCCTATGTTAGCTAGGATTAATGCCTTAAACAAGGTATTTGTTCAGTCATTAATTTATCCAGACCTACAGAGTGCATGGATCATTTTGCTCAGAACACAACTCTTTCTATTTTTACTGTGAATATTAAATAATGCAAAATAATCCTCATTATGAATTTTAAATAATACACTTTGCTACATGGCAAATTTTAAAAGCAAATACCTGAAAGCAGAAACAGAACTTACCCTTTTCTTAATGTTGTGAATGTGATAGTGAGTAAAAGTATTGTATTTCCTTCAAATAAAACACAAGTTTTCTTGCAAAATACCATAGAAAGATTAACAAGTACAGTATATTTCACTTCTCCAGTAAATACAAAGCGCTTGCTGATATGTATATCATACCTTAAAAATTTTTTTATTGAGAACCTTTAAAATGTAAAAGGATATGCATAAATGGTATGACATCAGTTTAATCCATAAAGTGTTTATATCCCCTTTCCCACTGGTGTGTAGGAGTGCAATGTTTCACTTGTGTATTCATGAATCTAATCATATATGCCTCAACAACACCAGGGTTAAAAATTCTTTTTTCTATCCAAAAGTTGAAGTGGCAAGAAACGATACAGCTGATTGCTTTGCCCAGGGTTCTTATCCTTATGTACCTTATCATGGCATGTTCTGGCAAAAACCATTCTAAGGGGTGAGGTGGGCTATGTGTTACAGAGGGATGATTTACATGTGTTTGGTATCTATTTGTTCTTTATTTTGGATTCAATGGGAATCCCACCTATAGTCCCACACCATTTTGGAGAAAATAAGAAACGCCTGCCATCACTTATTTGTCATTGCTGGCAGGTAACAGCAGTCCCTCTCCACAGTCTGTGCCGTATACTTTGAGCCAGCTGTTGTGTTTCATGGGTGGGGCAAGGGGAGAGGAGGTGAGGGGTATGTTTGTGTTGAGCATGTTCTTGTCATGGAAGCCCTGGTGCCAAGCTGGACATTGCAAAACAATAACATGCATTGCTAGACAGTTGATTGTTTTGCCCCAATTTCTTATCTTTGAGTACCTTATCATGGCATATTCTGGCAAAACCTTTTATAGGGGTGAGGTGGGCCTTCTCTGTTGCTGCTCCTATACTTTGGAATTCCTTTTATCACTAGCTGTGCTGGCAATGGGTTCTGGGAATTGCAATCCAGTAACGTCTGGGGACCCAACGTTGGCTACCACTGGCGTAGGGGAACTGGTCACCCTGTGCTACCAAGCAATCATTCATTTTCCATATTGGAGTAAAATGCAAGAGTCTGTGTTATTATTTGTAGCAGTTCTGCTGGTCAACTCTCAGTAGATATCGTTGTGGCAGAAAAATGAAGCTTGATTGTTGGTCTGTTGCCATCACAGAAAAGGCTTTAATATGAGCTCCAGGTAGTGTTTGATTTGATTCATCGTGAGCGATCTACCATGGTAGCCTTAGTCCCTACTACTTTACTCTTAGTCCACCAATGAAATAACTTGGCTCCAGGGCTAAGGCGAGGACTATCAAGATCGGTGGAGTCAGCCATCCAGTCCATTTTCCTGTTTCAGACTCAACCAGAGCTTCAGCACATTTCCAGACTGTCTGATAGCAAAATCTTCCCAAGCTTTCCAAAAACTATTCAGATCCATCAGTCCTGCGTGGTATCATAACAGATGCCCTGCCCTCTGCAAAGCTAGCAGGTTCTGGTGAGCCTGAACCCAACATATGGATCTTATGTACTTCAGTAACCAACTCAAAAATTGGGAAGCTCTGTCTGGAGCACCATCTGATGAGGGCAATGGCTTCCTGATGTTTTTAGTTTGAAATCTGATTTTAACTAACCTATCTGGTTTTTTTATACTATCATCTGTCACTACTAAGCTTTTGATATTTTGCATTCAGAAAGAAAGGTTCGCCTCCTCTAAACACACACACACACACACATACACACACAGAGAGAAGATATCTCCCCCCAAATAAATTCCTGTTTATTCCTGTTTAACTGCGCATCATACAGGCATTTGGTTTATAGGCAGTGAACTCTGCTACAGCTACCTCTGCACTTGTACGTTTTCATCTTTATCTCCGCGGCAGGCCGCTCCGATTTTGATAAGAGGCATTCTGCTGAAGATTAGAGCTGTTCAAAGGTTTCCCTCTCTGGTTAAAAAAAAGAAGTAAAGTAACAGTAGCAACAGGACTAAACTGCAGGGGCTTGAAAGTTCAGAAAAGATGCAGAGGTGAGACTGTATGCCAAATAACAGCAGTGATCGTTCTTGAGAACTCCAGGTGTGTCATGGCAAAGAGTAACAGAACACCCTAGGCAAGAATGTTAATACTTTGCCTCCCAGCAATTTATTTTGGCCATTTGAAGTGGGATGAGAAAGGACTAATTTGTTTTCTGGATTAAGCTTTTTTTCTCAGTTTCTGTTTAATGCAACTAGACTCATAGAAAGCAAAACTGGTCCGTTTTTCTGCACCTGCCACCTCCACCTTGTAGTCTTTCAGCCCTATTGTGTTTGTTACACTAGACTGAAAGACCAACATTATAAAGCATATAAGATTGCATATTATTATCATTATCTCTTTGCTCGCTTGGTCTGTTTCCCCTTCTCTTCAGGTTGAATACTTTGGCTCTAAAATGCATCCAGAGGCTTATACATTTAGAGAAACAGATGGTGGGAGAGAAGTTATACAACACCTGAGTCATTTCCTCACTTAGTATCAGATCACATATATATTTTTACCAGGTTTCAAATCATACTGTGCTTGCTTAACATTTGCTTAGTGTACATTTCCACAATTAAGACTGGTTTGCCACTTGCTGTAGCATACAGCAGCGTGGTGTTGCTGGCATAATACTGGAAGAGTGAGAATAATTCTGCCTTGCTGTGAATGGATAGATAACCTTTTTAGGTGCCTTCTCACTATAAATCCACCCTTCTTTCATCTTGTTTTGTGCACTGCCTGGCACGTTGTTAGCCTTGAAATAAATGTTATAATGATGAAGCACCAGCAGAACATCCTCTTTCCTTGCTGTACCCATTCATTTTGGAAGAACAGAGGACTGATGACATCCTCATTGTGTGCCTCTGGAATGAAAGGGATTGAGAAGAGACTATCTCTGTCATTAGCTCTACACCTTAGATATAGGTTTCTCTGTATTTGCTTTATGTTAGGTGGGAAGGCTGAAGAAACCTAAATCAGGATCTTGCTTTAAAAAATGGGTCTGCCAGATAACATTGTTATACTTTGAAGGAGTGGTGAACGAGAACTAGAATGTTGAACAATACATATCTTGTATTTGCAAAGGCTAAATGGCTGGGATCTAATGGTTGTTGTGGGTTTTTCGGGCACTTTGGCCGTGTTGTGAAGGGTGTTCTTCCTAACGTTTCACCAGTCTCTGTGGCTGGCATCTTCAGAGGACAGCACTCTCTGCTCTGGTGTAGTTTGTTTGGGAGCTGAATATTTTATGGCTGTGGAGCTGAATATTTTATGGCTGTGAGATCAGCTTTTGTCCCTTTTCAGGAGATGGGTGATTAGTGTGTCTTGTTGTGGGTGTATAGTTGTGATAAGAAGGAGAGATTATCTGTCACTGTGATTGATGGGTATCATTAGCTGGTCTTTTGTGTGTAGTGATCCCTGGTCCTTGTGGCTGGGTAGAAGTCGTTGACCTTTTGCACACTGTATTTTTCAGAGCTGGGAGCCATGTTTTGTTGAGTTTTGTTGAGAGGAAAGTTTGAAACTCAACAAAACATGGCTCCCAGCTCTGAAAAATACAGCGTGCAAAAGGTCAACAAACTCTATCCAGCCACGAGGACCAGGGATCACTACACACAAAAGACCAGCTAAAGATACATCAATCACAGTGACAGATAATCTCTCCTTCTTATCACAACTATACACCCACAACAAGACACACTAATCACCCATCTCCTGAAAAAGGACAAAAGCTGATCTCACAGCCATAAATACTCAGCTCCCAAACAAACCACACCAGAGCACAGAGTGCTGTCCTTTGAAGATGCCGGCCACAGAGAATGGTGGCGAAACGTTAGGAAGAACAACCTTCAGAACACGGCCAAAGTGCCCGAAAAACCCACAACAATACATATCTTCTTGGACAAAATGTTGTGTTGCTTTCAAATCTTCCTTGCTTTTATCTGATAGAGAAAGTTCATAAAGATTGTTTTAGGTGTCTGTTCTTTTTGGAATGAACTTTATCTAATGCAATCATGCATGTGTAAGAGACAAGGGTAGAATTGTTTACTCAGTTTCTGTTCTATACAGAAGAAAAATAATCTGGTATGATGCGATTGCCACTGTTCCTCTTGTATGTTTGATTTCTAGCATCCTCCTGGTCAATTGAGAAGGAAATACAGTTCCTGTTCCACTATTTTCCTGGATGACAGCACAGTCAGTCAGCCCAATCTCAAGTATACAATTAAATGGTGGGTAAGGCTGCCTTTCTTGGCTCAGAAAGATGCTTCTTGTAATTATTTTTGAATAATTGTATATGAACTGGCATTCTAGAAGAGGTGGGAGGACCTAAACAAATCACCAGGTCTTGTGGTGGTGGTGGTGGTGATGATGATTTTGCATGGAAACCTTCAGAAGAACTATGGATAACTGTGACAAATCATGTGCATCATTGTCAGTAGAGTTATCTAAGACGACAGCTTGGTGGAAAGGGAGTAAAATATTTTCCTTACTGTTTGCTAAACTTGAAATATAAATAACAAGCTTGCAGAACTTGGGGTGTGTTTTTTTAATGTGCCTTTTAGAACTCTCCACCTTGCTTTGCTTTGAGAGTGGTCTGTGAAAGAGAAATACGGGGTGTACTTGCAAATCTCATTGCTCAGTCATGAAGTTCGATGGAATTGCTTTAAGCTTCTTTCGAATGACATGCTGACTGCATCATCTGATTTCACCCAAAGTTTGCTTTGAATAAAGCACTCCATTAATACTTCTTGTTTATACATGTTTGCTCAGATTCTTTATGAATGCCTGAAGTTAAAAATTTGGAGGACTGTTTACTGATGAAAAAACTTCATTTTTCTTGCTTCTTTTCCTCTTGTTATTTGCCTATTAATCATGCATATAATCTATTGGCTTTACTGTTGGAATAACAGGAGTAATATTTTCATTTCCTGTTAGCTGGGCTCAATTGTGGACATATTTAATTCTTCTTGATCAAATTAAGAAATACATATTCTTGGCCACATATTGACGTTCTTGTATACTTGCAGTAAAAACATTTGATAGGGTGTCAGCAAGACTATTAACTCTTTTAACCTTTATCCTAATCGTCTGAGTGCCCCATCAGATAAATAGTTTGTCTCCAGATGATAGTGCATCTCTATCCTTTCCAAGGACTTCCTTGTCTCCCTCTTTGACAGTCAATTGATCAGTTTTACTTTTCCTTGTTTAATTGTTAAAACTGTCTTCCCAACTGAATCTCTGTTGATTGTATATATAATCAGCTTCCATGTTATAGTCTTTGTACTGGGGCTTGCCATTTTTGTCATACTTGATTATAGTTCCTTTCTCACTTGTTCCTGTTCATCTCCTTGATCATTTGGTTTCAGCAAAATAAGCTGCTGTTATCCCATTTTGTTCGTTTTCACCATTTCATCTCTGTGCCTCCCTTTTTGAACTCCTGGGCCAGCCTGGGGCATTTTGCTAATCCACACTGAGTTGCAGTATTATAGAGGATTCACGGATGCAGCTGTCTAACTGAGATAAAGTGATCCCCCCAAATATTGCTTTTCCAAGATGGCCCTTGCAGTACTCTCAAGTTCAGCTAGCCTCCATGTTGTTCTCAGTGTTTTTGAAAGCCTCCAATATATCTGGCAGTCTCAATTCTATGAATTTCTTCTTTCAAATTTACATTGATCTGGAGAGGCACTTTATATAATGTTGTGTCGTGCTGGCTGGAGGATTCGGAAAGTTGTAAAAATACAGCTTTAACAAGATATCTGTAGATGAGGGGTTTCAGCTGTGTTTCCTGCTGGTTAATATCCACTCTCCTTTTTATTGACTCCCTTTCTCTCATTTGATAAAAATTAGTAGAAACAATTGACTGAGACTTTTGAAAATGTTAATGTATTTGTAGAACTTAATGTTGTGACATTATAGAATATATATGGCCATATCCCAATTCTGTATTTTCTTTTACAGTGTAGCTCTTGCAATATATTACCACATCAAAAACAGGTATGTTAACATTGGAAAAGTCAACATTTCTCCCTTGCTAATTAATTTCTCTTTCCCTTGTGCCCCACTAATAGTCCGTGAACACAGTTTGCCTGCAGGGATAATATCTGTTAGAGGTTGAAAGCTTCTGCCTATATGAATATCATGTACTGAAAGGGCAGAACAGTGGCACCACCCTCCTGATGGTCACAGAGGGTACCAAAGAACTGAGTAATTAGTGATGCTCATATGGATCCAGGGTGCCAGACACAGAACTACTGCACATCTCAGTGGTTTGGGTATCTGGCTATGAAGCCAGAGTTTGGGAGTTCGATTTTCCGCTGTGCCTCCTTGACAGGGACTGGACTTGAACATCCATAGGGTCTCTTTCAGGTCTTATTATTATTCTCAGTATCAGAAGATGCCATGAAGTACCCATTTTTATGGGAACATGGTGCCCAAGGATTATGCTCTTACAATAGGACTGGAGTGTAATAATTAAGGTCACAGTAAAAATGTAATAGATGAGCACGGTTTTAAACAAACCTCAGCTACATTATGTTCCATTTGAAAAGCTGAGAGTTTATTAGGGCTTCTGTTAAAAAAAAATAAAACCCAGACTTTAGAGTGTTTGGACAAGAGTGACATGGGCCGCATAAAGGGAACAATCTTTTATAGATACAGCCCTGTGACTAAACAAATTATCCAGAAATCAATAGCCACCTGGGCAGTAGGGTGTTATTTGCAATTGTTATCTGCTCCAAATAACAATTGCAAATAACCATGTTCAGAATTATAAATGGAAAGTTATAGCTGACTTATGAAAGAGCAGTAAAGCACAAACACAAACGCCAGATGTCTTCCTTTAAACTGAAAACATAGTCAGGGACTAGTTTAGTGTAGCTATATTTTAGCATTTCCGCAGACATAAGTGGTTAGTAGAGCAAGGGCAGGCTCTGGGATTGTGGTCCCTACTCTGTTGTGGTAGTGATGTACAGTGGTGCCTTGCAAGACGAGCGCTCCGTTTTACGACGAAATCGCATTACGACAGTTTTTGTGATTGCAAAAGCGATTGCAAAACGATGCTTCCTACGGGGGAATTTCGCTTTGTGATGATTGGTTCCCTGCTTCGGGAACCGATTCTCGCAAAATGATGATTTTCCTACAGCTGATCGGCGGTTTCAAAATGGCTGCCGGGTAAAAAAATGGCTCCCTGCTCTTTTCTGGGATGGATTCCTCACTGCATGGGCAGCGAAAATGGCCGTGCTATGGAGGATCTTCGCTGGACGGTGAGTTTCAAGCCCATAGGAATGCATTAATGCGTTCCTATGCGCTTTTAAATTTCACATTATGATGTTTTTGTTCTACAGCGATTTCGCTGGAACGAATTAACATCGTAATGCGAGGCACCACTGTATATAGCTTGTGTTACTGATCACACACAAGCTTTAGAACGAAGCTACTTTCTAGAATTCAGAGTAAGGGCTGAGCTGTTGGGTTGAAAGTAGGGAAGAGCTGTTTATGTTTGCTTGTCTGTTCTCCCTTTTGCAAGGCTGCAGTTGCTGCACAGATTTCTGTAACCATCAGCGTCCAACATGTTGTGTATGCGCCCTCTGCTGTATCCTGGAGATACAGTCCTATTGGAAAATCTCATTTGGATCAGGCCTTTTTTTTTTAGTCCACCATCATTTGGCTAATTGCCTTCTAAAGTTAAGGCAAAGACCTTTTTAATTCAAACAAACCTTTAACAACTGATGATCCAGGGTTTTACTTAGACATGCCAGTTTTCTTTTACTTCTAAGGTTAAGTATTATTACAACTTTAATTGAGATGGTTTAACATATTTTACTTTGAAATGCATTTTGATACTGTAATGGATTTCATTGTATTTCATATTTTCATATTTGTAACTTCCATGTTTTGGTGAAACAGTTTATTTAGCTATATTGTAAGCTGCCTTGGGTGCTAGAACTGGGAGAAAGTTGGCATATAGGAGTTGGTAATTGGTAGTTGTAAATTGGTAGGAGCCTCATGGTGCAGTGGTTAAACTGCTTTACTGAACCAAAATCTGCTCACGACCCAGGGTTCAATCCCAGGTAGCCGGCTCGTGATCCGCTCAGCCTTCCATCTTTCCAAGGTTGGTAAATTGAATATCCAGCTTGCTGGAGAGTGGGATGGTAGTAATGTGTAGCCTGCATAATTAAATTGTAAACTGCCCAGAGAGTGCTTTAAGCACTATAGGATGTTATATAAGTAGCATATTATTAATAAGATAAACCAACTAATAAAAAATAAGCTGTTGGCCGTTGCTTTATCTAGTGTCAGCAAATATTGTAAATTATTGTTAGCCCTTATGAAGTATCATATCAACTTAAAACACAAGATAAATAATTTGAGTAGGGGATTTTTTTTTCAGCCTAGCAGATGAAGGGGGAAATTAGGACCACATAGCAGAATCAACTCCTACGCCTAAATACAACAGCATCACTTCCTTACCAATTAAAAACTTGAAATTTCTGCTTCTACAGTCAAAAGTAAAACAGCACTGTTCCTGTAACTGCTTTTATGGTTTCTGTCTTTTTCTGTGATTTTGCTGTGAAGTGATTGTTGCAAGTGAATGCAGAAGCACTATAATAGGGAGGAGGTAACCTTTCCTGTGCCATTTCCAAACCCACCACAGAAATATTTTCTGCTCTTTGTAAAAAAAATTTCTCTCCTGTGCAATGTGGCCTTACAGCAAAACCATGCTGCCAAGAGGCAGATATGTCAGTCTTCTCCTGTGTGGTGGCATCCAGATAAATTGGATTATATAATCCCATAACCTGACAGCCACTTTTCCCCAGACATGATTTAGAGCCATAAATCTCCAATGTGCTGGGCTGATAGTGGAACTCGATGTTGTGTGCCCAGTGTATCCAGAACACGCATATTGGGATGGCTGAAATAAGTCCTTGGCTATAGCTCTAGTATCCTTGACTTGTCCATGCCTAGTCCATACTGTGACCAGTTGCTTCATTCACATGTCTTTCCTCCTTCCTCTCTCTTTCCAGGGACACAGATGGAAGGATGCTCCTAGATATTTTTGATGAAAACCTCCACCCTCTTTCGGTAAAGCTCATCTGCTCCCTCCTTTTTTTGCTTTTCATCATGTGGATTTTGCTGCTTCACTTTGACTTTTCATATGATTGCTCTCCAGTGTACCATATTTTTCCATGTATAAGACACCCCATGTATAAGATGCGCCCCTTTTCTAACCCAAAATTAAGAAATCTAAATGGGGTTTAGCAAGTGTAGGGGGAAAGGGATCAAAGCACTGCAGGATCACTTTGATCCCTGCTTTCCCCTCCACTTGTTTTTTCCTCTCCTCAGCTTACTTCCATGTATAAGACGACCCTCAATTTTTAGTCTAAAGATTTTAGACAAAAGTCAAGTCTTATACATGGAAAAATAAGGTATTTGTGGTTCACTCACATTTTTTTTTTACAATGTTTCTCCAGAAATCCGAAGTGCCGCCAGATTATGACAAACATGACCCAGAGCAAAAGCAGATCTATCGCTTTGTGCGGACGTTATTCAGTGCTGCTCAACTGACTGCCGAATGTGCCATCGTCACCCTGGTGAGTGCTTCATCGTTGAACTGCTCAGCTGGACTATAACCACTTTGAGGACTCTACATCTGTAACTTGTCCCTGGAGGCCGATTTGTACCTCCTAGGGGTTAGATTCCTTGCTTCTCTTGAAAAAAAAAAAAGAGAAATTAAAAGAAAAGAGACATCTTGTGACATGATGCGATCTTCTTTTTGATCTCATTGAGACTTTTTTCTTTATCAGATTGATATTTGCACAGATTGTGCAGTTACATTAATAATAACGATTGAGTGCTGTCAAGTTAATTCTGACTTATGGCAACCCTTTTAAGGGGTTTTAGGTAGAGAGTACTCAAAAGTGGTTTCCCATTCCCATTTTCTGGGGGCATCCTGGGATGGTGCAGCTTGCCCAAGGTCACATAGGCTGGCTGGCCTCCTGGGAGGCACAATGTGGAAATTGAACTCCCAAACTCTGGCCCTGCAGCCAGATGTCTAACTCACTCAGCTATCCAGCCAGCTGCCTCCCCAGTTACAATAGCTACTGGTTTATTGTGTGAACTTTTAAACATTTGGATGCATTCTTTGCATCTTTTTGATCAACCAGCCAATCCTTTGGTGTTTGCTGTGAGTGTGTGTTTGACTTAATAACAAGTTAAAAACCAACAAGTTTTGCACAGAATCATTTTGCGCAAAATGTGGAAACTCTAAGGGGAAATATTGTACATGTCTCATTCTTGCTGTGTGGGTGAGAACTTCCAGGGGAGTTAGTGATTATTTGAAAGACTCTCAACACTATGTCTTAGCTAAGAATGACCCATGTACTGAGAATTCTTCACATTCCTAAGACATTCCCATTTCCTCAGCAACTTGATGTGTGAAACTTTAGATCCTTCTGTAGTCGGTAGATAGAGAGATCGTTTTTTTGTGTTTCTAAATTTTGTATAAACACTTGAAAAGTATTTCTCCTTAGGCAGAAAATATCCACTCCTTTTCTTCTGTATATTCCTTGTCTTCTAAAATGTATCTGCAATTCATGTTTTAAAACACACTGCTTGAAGTGAAAGGCATTCTTTTCTTGAAATATATGGAATTTTTCTCCTCTTATTTTCAGCTGATGAGAGTATCTTTGAAAAATGAAGGGCAAGCCTATTTTTAGGGATGCAGATTGAACAGTTTAAAATAGGGATCACTTATTCTTACAGTTATTACCGTAAGTTTTCTTAACAGGAAAGCTGTCCACTTCCTGTAGGTTAAATGTGATACTAGCCATTTAGTTCTGCATTTTGTGTTAACATTGAAAAACTCGGTAGCCAGTGTGGAAAAAGAAGGAGTGGGTGTGGAATGTGGCGTGACACGAGGGGAGCTTTAACCATTTCTGCCTACTTCTGCCTGAGTTACAAGAGGACCTCTGCATGCACATATGGCAGTGGCAAAGTTTTAGCCCTTCTGATTAATTAATTTAGTTTTTAAAGATTTTGATTTTACTGAGTATTAAAAGTGAGCTATATAGTGCTACGTTCTGGGAGAAATGTTGCATCTACTAGGTCCTTTTTAAGAGAAAGGCAGAGCATATATATTTTAAATAAAATAAATTTATTAAAGAGAGCCAGTCTCCTAAAGGAAGCTTCGGATAGCTGGCTTCTGTGCTGTCAAACAGCTAAGTTCTTTGAATCTGGTAAGCTCTTGACTTGCATAGTCCTTTAAACTGACTCTTAATGAATTATGCTTTCTCGTTCAAGTCATCTAAGTCCTCTATGTGTGATTGATATTTTATATTCACTTGTTTCTTGTGAGTGCAGCAGGTATTTCTGCTATGGTACATCCTAGGCCTCCTTCACATGCAGCAGTAGTGATAATGATATTTGTATCTGCATTGTGCTGTTCCAAGCAGCTGCATATGAGTGACACAACCAGATGGCCAAGTTTGTTGGTGTGGGTCTTCCTCCCCCTCCCTGATTGTCCCTCTCCCCGACTAGCCCTCAGAGGAATGAAAATAAGATAAAGTCAGATATTTTCGTTATCTATTGAAGTATGGTAGATCCTGCTAAGAGGTAGAAAAATCTAGTCACTTTATTGTCTAAAAACTAAGTCCTAAAGCTTCTTTTGCACTTTACCTGAATTAGATAGGTTGCTGAATCATCTTCAATGGCTTCTTAAGGTACAGTGGTGCCTTGCTTTACAATTGTCCTGCATTACGACGAATTTGCTTTATGACAATCTTTTTGCGATTGCAATTGCAATCGCAAAACGATGGTCTAAATGGGGGAATTTCACTTAGCGGAACCTGCTTCGGGAACCAATTCTTCGCAAAATGATGTTTTTCTAACTGCTGATCGGCGGTTTCATAATGACTGCCGGGTAATTAAAATGGCTCCCCGCTGTATTTAGGCACGGCGGATGGATTCCTCGCTATACAGGCAGCGAAAATGGCCACCGTATGGAGGATCTTCACTGGACAATGAGTTTTTACCCCATTGGAATGCATTGAACAGGTTTCAGTGCATTTCAGTGAGGTTTTTTATTTCGCTTTACAATGTTTTTGCTTAACGGCGATTTTCCTGGAACGGATTATCGTCGTTAAGCGAGGCACCACTGTAATCTCATCAACCTACATATTTATGGTACATTTCAAAGTTACATACCACCCTAGTATATAATGCCTTTCTCTGATAACAATCCGAAATAGTTGCATGGATGATTGGTATGTATACAGCAGTATAATCAGCCCTAAACGTGTAAACAGAAAGTAGAGGTATTAAGTGGAATAGTGCAGAGCAACGAAAATATTCAACTAAGGAAATGGAAGTCCCTGGATTTCTGAGCCAGTTTTTTTTTTTTTTTGGTAATTTGTTGGACTATAGTTCCCAGAGTCCCCAAGTCAACAGAGTCAACAGCTGTGCCAGCTGTGAAATTGAGAAGTCAGACTTAGCCAAAAAGCTCATCGGATCCTGTTGGACCAGTTATGTACTCTTTAACCCCCACCCGCAAAGAGGAATAAGATGTGGGTAGGGTGGTGTGAAAGCTCCTTGGTGTGAAAGCAGGACAAAGTTGTAATAATTTTTTTAAAGGTAATAAAATGAAAATGAAAGAAGAAATGACATTAAAACAGAAAATATAAATGGCCCATAGAAACTTTAAAGTATGAAGAAAGTACTGAAGTGAATGAATGAAGACCAAGAAGTCTTAAACAGTAAAATGCAGAAAGCTAGAATACTCTAATCATGTAATTAGAAACAGAAGGTACAGATTATGAAAGCTTCATTGAAGGAAAGAGAAACAGGAAAAGGAGGCTGGGAGGGAGAGGAACATATTGATTAAAGCTGGCTTCAATGCAGTGCGTCATTGCTTAGCTGTATCACATGGAAAGTCAGAATAACCAGGATTATGTCTGGCAGAAAAGAATTAAAACAAGAACACAGAGTTTTCGTTTCTCCAGGTCTGATCTTCCTTTAAGATAGCAATTCTGTGATGAGATGATTTCTTTCCTTGTACATAAAAATATCAAGCTTCCAGTGCATCACGGCTCAGAGAAATGTACAGTTTGGAGAAGGGAGTTTGTAGTCATTGTTATCTATACAGTAAGGGCATCTATTTAAAGAGAGCGTAGCTTGGATTATTTTTGGGTCAGCCAAAAGGTTACTGTTACAGACACTCTTGCTGATTGATTAATATAATGCACAGGTGGGGATAGTAAGCGAGCAGGCATCCAGCGGATGTGAGAGGCTGGAACTTTTCCATGTTTGTGAGGCCAACTCTATAAATCATTGTAGCTTCAAGCAAAGAATTTGGGACAACTATCAGTAACTGACAGAGGGATTAATAAGAGCTGATGGATGTTCAAAGGGCTGTGTGAGTGACTGGCACACATTTGTGGCTGATGTGAAGTGAAATTTTTTTAAAAAAATCCACTGTGCATGTCTTGCTCAGCTAGGTCAGAACAGTGTGAATAGCTGGGGGTGACAGTCCTCCACCAAGGAGTTGAGATATAGTAGTGAAATATCAAGCTGTAACATCCCTTTAATTCACTGTTCTGTAAGGCATGTGTCTCAAAAAATCCTTTTCTATTTATTTGCACTCTTGCAGAGTGTGGGTGGCATACAAGTCAAATAAATAAATAAATAAATAAATAAATAAATAAATAAATAAATAAATAAATAAATAAATGCCAGAATCTGAAAGTAATTCATTGCAAAAGGGTAGTTACTTGTAACTGATTTATTTTCAGAGTACTGAGGCACAGTTGAATTATTCATCAGTGGATTTTGGATTTTGTACAAGGACGGTATTTCATCATTCTTGTTGCAGTATAATTGTAATGTAGTGAGGAATTTCGCTCCTTTTCTCAGTGTACATGTAATTTTTGTTATGTTTAGAGTTACAAGGGGTATGATCTCTCTAAATCATGGAGGAAGAATTCTATGTGATTCAAGGGCATCTTGTTATAGGTGTCGAAGCAATTATGAGCAGACAAGAGGAATATGTGTTTTGCACCACGGATCAGTAACTTGTAGCTGTTTAAAGAGTAACTAAAAAGGGACCTGTTTAGTTACTTTTGGTGAATGAAAAGTAAAGAATTTCTTTTAAAAATGGAAATAGGTTTTAACCATTGACAGTTAATGACTGCAACTTTGGCCATTGGGGCTATGGTTGTTAACTAATTACTTCTAAAAGGCAACATCCCATGCTTGCATCGTGCTTTTCTTTGTTGCATGTGTTGAAGGTTCAACTTCATGCGTCTTCAAATGCTGTAGTCTTTGTTATCCATTGTATTTTTTTTTTATTGGTCATGGCTTGATCGAGGTGGTGAAAGAGGCGTCATGAAGGTTGCATTTGTTTATAATGGCTGAAATAGAGTGTGCATCGAAATTATGACTAATGGTTTTTATTACACCTCAAGCGTGCAGATTCCCTGCATCCTTAATAGGGTCCATGCATTTTTGAGAATGTAGCTTAGACCTTTAGCTGGAGTGCAGCTTCGCTGATTGAACAGTTTTTACTGTTTATCTCATTATATGCATTTGCTTCTTAAAAATGGTCTTTGAGCTAAGTTTCTATTACAGTTGTTTTGTAGATGGGGAGTCCTAGGTTGAGAGTCTGTCCCCAATTCCTGAAGCCTCATTAATTGCATAGAAAGCCTCTGCTGTGTCAAAAGGGCCACTGTGTTACTTCTTTTGATGTCAAGTTGGCTAGATTATGTTGCTGGGGTGTTTATTCTGGAGGGATATAAACAGTCAAGAGCAATGCATGTGTTCCTGGTTGAGAGGCATTTGGAGGTAGGAGTTACAGAAACTTTACAGCCTTTTGATCATGTTGTCTCTTAACTCATTGACTACAGATCTTGAGAGTGTCTCTGTATGGCATGAAATCCACTGGAGACTGAAGTCAGCTCACCTTTTTCTGTTGTTTCTGCTTGTCTTCCCATTTCCCTGCTGCTGCCTGGATGGTGTAAGGACTTGCAAAAAAAGACTGTGAGGACGAATGCATTCTCAGACATGGAGCTTAACGGGATTCAAAGCCACATCAAATATTTTCTTTCAAAGCTCCTATCTGTGGTGGGGTGCTTGTAAAACGTTCTCCTGGGGCTGATCATGGGACAGTAAACCCTCCTTTGAAGAAGTGATCATAACTCAAAAGTTAGCATGTGGTTGTCCTGCAATTTTTCCAAACACTTGGAGTTCTGAGGCCCGGGTTGTTTTGAAGTGGCGAGCCATCTGCACGATCTGGCTTGTGGGTCCCTTCATGCAGACTTGCCTCCTTGCAGCACAACCGGACTCACAACTTGTTTGTGCTTTGCCGTGGAATCCTGTCAACCAGCTTGCAATATTTCCCAAGGGAACGAGAGTTAGGAACATCATCAATCTGTTGTGAACTGATTTCCTTGAAGGAAAGTAAGTGACTTGAGGGAAACATCTGAAGAGCGGTCATGAGTAACGTTGGCACTTCGGTGGCAAACATTTTTAGTCCCCAAACCCTGTTCTGGGTTGCACCAGGCTCAGAATGGCCTAAGATAGGATAGTGCTTTTCAAATACTTGAAAGGCTGTCATACAGAGGAGGGGCAGGATTTGTTCTCAATCTTCCCAGAGTGCAGGCTCAAGTTACAGGGAGCCAGAATATCAGGAAAAACTTCCTGTTAGAGTAGTATAGCAATGAAACCAATTACCTTGTGAGGTAGTGAGTACTTCAACGCTGGAGGCATTCAAAAAAGAATTCAGACAACCACCTGACATATTCTTCAATCTCTATTCCTGAACTAACAGGGGGCGGAACTTGATGGCCTTATAAGCCCCTTCCAACTTCAGTGATTCTATGATAAGATGGCCTCACTCTTTTTCAGAAATAAAAAAGTAAAAGGAAGTGCCTGGATTGAACTTTCCAGTTCTGATTGTTTCTATCGTGGCTGGAAGGGCTCAGGGAACTCCATAAAATCTCCAGAATAAACAGATAGATAGAAAAAGTCCCTCTTGGACACCTTTAGGAGCCTAAAAAGGTGTCTTCTGTCCCCTGATCCCATCTGGTTATTTAGAGCAGTGGTCACCAACCTTGGGCCTCTAGATCTTCTTGGACTACAACTCCCAGAAGCCTTCACCACCATCTCTGCTGGTCAGGATTTCTGGGAGTTGAAATCCAAGAACATCTGGAGGTCCAAGGTTGGGGACCACTGATTTAGAGTCACTCATTCTCCATTGACCAAATACATTGTTGCTTTATTTATTCCGTAGGAACAACTGGGCATACTGTATAAACTGTGCATTGTGTGTATCACTTGCACACGTTAAGTTTGTGTGACATCTGTCTTTGTTTCTTCCTCAAATGGTCGAAGGGTTGAGTAGAATCCATAGCTGCATATTTCCATCTTGGCACATACTCAGGACAGATATGCAAACCTCCCCTGAGATATTTGACTGTAACAATAAATTTCTTTGGCTTTTCTCCAAATTCTTTGAATGTTTTGTCTGAGTCGGAGCCTCCAGATTTCCTTTCAGTTTTAGAACATTATCTGGTGGCAGTTCAAGGCTGATGTATGTGAAGAAAGCAAATTGTAAAGATGGGCCATTCATGGTGAGGGGGTTTAGACTAGAGATGGGGCTGTTTGTATATTAATGCGAATATCCCTGCACAGGTGGCATTAACGAAGGTCCAGCATAAAACTAGATTTTTTTAAAAAATTAAATCAGTTTGCTTTTAGAAACTCATTAATGTGTATCCATCGTGGAAGTAGATAACAAGTGGCCACATGCTGCCATCAAAGTAAATTTCTGCGGGCTACAAGGGTCTCCTGAAAATCATACATTTATGATGTGCCTACTTCCCTACATTCACGAAAATTTAAACTTTGTTTAGCTCAGTCAGTTGGAGCACCTGCTCATTGGGCCAGGGGCCAAAACTTTGAATCCCACCGTGCCTCATGTGTGGCTATTGAGGTTAAGTGCCCTCCTCCCCATGTGGCCTTGGAGAGCCTCCACAGTCCCACTCCACACTGCGGCCAGAAAGAGGGACTGGTAAACCACATCTGAATACTTTATAGAGAAAAAGCCCTGGGAGGGTTACCAGAAGTTGCAATCCACTTGACAGCAAATCAGTCTTACTGTTATACTAACAATAACTAGTACACTTTGAAGAGAAAGTAGAGTTCAGGTGCCTATAATGTGAATTATTATCTGATTGCCACCAGTGGCTGTATCTTCTTTGTGAAGGTGTATAAACAGCTGCTTTTTTGGTAGTATATATTTTTAAACATAGATGGGTTTTTTAAATGTCTGTGCCTTAACAAGTTTGTGCTACTTTAATTTGGCCAAGGGTTAAATTAAGCTTTAGCATGTTTATTATATGGCAGTGTGCCGCAGTATGCCAGTTTCTAGTGAACAGGGTACAATGATGCTGTTTTGCTCAGGTTTTGCTAGCAAGGTCCCACAGCTAACCAGCAGGCTGCTATGTGAACAGAACACTAGATTAGGTTAGCTTTTGGGTTGTACCAGCAAAGCTCTCCTTATGACACCTTCTTACAACAGAGTATTCATTGATACTCATTCCTTGGTGACTGCAAGTATCAACACTGGAGAGGGTCAAGACAACAACCGGTGGCACAAATCCAGTTTCATTAGTTATGTTCCAATTTCAATGCATTTTCTTACATTTAAGGAACTGGCATACAGGTGTGTTTCATAATACTGTCACCTTTTCTGCCAAGTAGAATTACTTGAGGACCTGTGGGGCAGGGAGGCCAGTGAGCAGAAGCATATATTGTCCATCCCCATCTCAGTAGACAGAGCTAATGCAAATACCCTTTTATGCCTTTTGGATTCCAAAAGATCTCCTGTATGGAGAATTAGTGCAGGGACATCGCCCCGCTGGGAAACCACAGCTGTGATACAAGGATATCTGCAAGCAGGATCTGAAGACCTTAGGAATGGATCTCAACAGATGAGAAACCCTGACCTCTGAGCATTCATCCTGGAGGCAGGCATTGCATCACGGCCTCTCCCAATTTGAAGAGACCCTTGTCCAGCAGGCCGAGGCAAAGAGAAAGTCACAAAAGCAGCAAAACCAGGGAGCTGGACAGGGGACAGATTGGATTTTGTCTTCAGCGTGGAAGGGATTGTCACTCTCGAATTGGCCTTCTCAGCCACACTAGACGCTGTTCCAAGTCCTTCATGCAGAGCACGATACCATAGTCTCTCGAGACTGAAGGATGCCTATTCTGTTAGATTTTTCCAATAACACCTGCCTCTCTTTAACCATTTAAAACACTATTTCCTGTGTGCATCTTTGCCAATTCCTGGATGATGGATTTTAGCAGGTCAACTACTGGTTGAATCAACTCCAGCTTAGAATGTGACTCATATGAACTTGTGCTATATCTCAGCTTGTAGACTGACCCCTTGAAAAGACATTATGCCAATCAGAAGTTTAATTATTCCTGGCACTATGGTAATTGTTGTAAGGACAATTTTAGTCATGGCTGATTTTTCTACTTGCTACAAGAATATTACAATTGAAGGAGTGTAACTGAAAAATGACCTTGGCATTTATCAGGCTAACATTTTCCAGACTTTTTTCTGTTTTAAGGTCAGGCAGGCAGGAAACAGAGAGTTTGTCTACTTCTCTAACTTCTCTTCACCCAGGGGAATGCAATGAATTCTGAACCTAACATAACTTTTTCCAGGTATATCTTGAAAGACTTTTAACTTACGCAGAGATAGATATTTGTCCGGCAAACTGGAAGCGCATTGTTCTTGGTGCGATTCTCCTGGCATCAAAGGTTTGGGACGACCAGGCTGTGTGGAATGTGGACTACTGTCAAATCCTGAAGGATATCACAGTTGAGGACATGTAAGTTCACATTTTCCCCCCAGTTTTATGGGTTCTTCTTCCTGAGTGTGTGCGCTAAAGTAGGCAACTGGCTAGTCTCCTTCTGATATTTTGGGCTAGTTTTGATTGGCTCCAAGCAACATTCCCTCTAACTTTCAGCCCTGCATTTGGGCTAGTTTTGATTGGCTCCAAGCAAATTCCCTCTAACTTTCAGCCCTGCATGGAGTGGGGTTCAATCGCACACCTTAGAGTCAACCTTAGCCCCTTATGGGAGCTACAGTCCATAACACCTGGGGGGGGATCTGATTGCTTATTTTTTGCTATGGACATTACAATATAGATATTTCTGTTCCTTTCCTGACTCAACAAATGAAATTGACAATTGTTACATGATTTTTGTTCTTTGTTGTTTTGGGGGATGGTGATAATTTTTAATGAGATTTTTTTATATTACATGATGCATTGCATGTGACCTTTTGCTAAAAAGCTGTTCCTAAATATAAATATAGCAGGTAAACAAATAGAGAGTAAGTCCAGATAAATAGTGAGATTCTGTTGAAATTAATGGGACAAGTTAGTTATGACTTGCATCCTGTTGATTTCAGTGGGGAACACATTCTACTATTTTAGCCTAGTAAGGTTGGTAAAGGTTCCCCTTGACATTTAGTCCAGTCGTGTCTGACTCTAGGGTGCGGTGCTCATCCCCATCTCCAAGCCATAGAGCCAGCGTTTGTCTGTAGACAGTTTCCGTGGCCACGTGGCCAGCGCAACTAGACACGGAACACCGTTACCTTCCCAACATGGTGGTACCTATTTATCTACTTGCATGTGTGTGCTTTCGAACTCCTAGGTTGGCAGGAGCTGGGACAAGCGCCAGGAGCTCATTCCGTTGCGTGGATTCGATCTTATGACGGCTGGTCTTCTGACCTTGCATGACAGAGGCTTCTGTGGTTTAACCCACAACGCCACCACGTCCCATTTATTTTAGCCTAGCCCCAGCCTAACATCAGTTTTCTAGATTCTTTTTACTAGATATTGGCATTTGCAAAGAAGCTGATAAAATAACCATCACCTAAAGCATTTGCAGAAAAATTGCTTTAAAAATATACAACACGAGAACTTGCCAGGCTTATGCTCTTTTATTTCTAGTTGCAGGTTTGCAATTTGAAAACTCTAAATTAAGCCTTCAGCCTTTATCTTATGTGCCACCAGTAGCCCAGAATGCATTTGCACACTTAAAGCTAGTATGCCGATTGCCATCTTTTATCAGATATCAGCATCATGCCTAGGTTGACACATGCTTTAGTTACACCTTGATTGGATTATTGTAATGCACTGTACATGGGGGCTACCTTTGAAGAGTGTTCAGAACCTTCAGTTGGTTCAAAACACAGCAATCACAGTGCTGGTCACCGCCAGTTACAACAGCTTCACTGGCACAAGCTAAATAGCACTATAGAGCTTGAGTGCAGATTATCTAAAATACCATATTCTCCTGTTCATACCTTCTACTGGCAGGCAAATACCCATTCAGGTAATTCAGATAGGCCTTCAGCAGGTGATGGTCTGCTAAGGATAGGGTTTTAAGTGGATGTGCTGATTTTATTTTATTTTTAAGTTAACATAGTATTAGAAAGCAAAGCAAGGAAAATGTGTATGTAGGTGTTAATTTATGCTTATTTGAGAAAGGGTTGCTACTTCGGTCCAACATACATCAGTGCACACAAAGCCCTACTTAAAAACTCATAAAATAAGAACATTTGTTTTCTGAATAAATTGCCTTATGTTATCCAAAGACTGCAATCCAAAAAAAATTTTTTTAACAAGTTTAAATGTGCAGGAAACTTTACTTGGTAAGCCATAAGCAACTGAGGCATGAGTCTTGCCAAGTGTACTTTTAAAAAAGCAATTTCTACTAGCTGCTGAGCATCTGCTGGTAAATCTCACCCTTGACAGTTGTCTGCATCATGAGGTACAAACATGCAATGCAAAGTATGTGTTTGATATTGCATAAATGCCATACAATATCTTATATATGAACCACTTCTATTGCATCTATATCTTTAGGAAGAAGAGAACTCTTCTAGTTGCCTAAGCTGAAGACATCTGTGACAAGCTTCTGATATGTTTTCATTCTTTGGCATTCACACCCATCAACCCATTATAAGTTGAAGAAAATTATAGTCCTACAGGATGAGTGCTCACATGTGTCTTTGCATTTGTCATATTATTTATTTTGCAGGAATGAGTTGGAACGACAGTTTCTTGAGTTGTTGCAGTTCAACATCAATGTTCCCTCCAGTGTTTATGCAAAGTATTATTTTGATTTGCGCTCTTTGGCAGAAGCAAACAACCTGAGCTTTCCACTGGAGCCTCTCAGCAGGGAAAGGGCGTGTAAACTTGAGGTGAGACCTTTGCTCTCCTCCCATCATGGACCTCAAGCAGAGGGCATCTTTATTTTATGCTGTCCCTGAAATGTACGCAATGAAAACCTATACTTTTCCTATATTCCCCATACTTTTTATTTCATTTAGATCCTTATACAGTGGTGCCTCGCTTAACGGCGATAATCTGTTTCAGGAAAATCGCCATTAAGCGAAAACGTCGTAAAGCGAAAATAAAAAGCCCATTGAAACACATTGAAAACCTTTCAATGCATTCCAATGGGCTTAAAACTCACCGTCCAGTGAGATCCTCTATACGGCAGCCATTTTTTGTTGCCTGTATAGCGAGGAATCCGTCCCTAACCACAGCGAGGAGCCATTTTATTTACCTGGCAGCCGTTTTGAAACAGCTGATCAGCTGTTTCAAAAACGTCGTTTTGCGAAGAATCGGTTCCCCAAGCAGGGAACCGATCATCGCAAAGCGAAATTCCCCCATTCAGACCATTGTTTTGCAATCGCAAAAAGATCGTCATAAAGCGGATTCATCGTAATGCGGGGCAATCGAAAAGCAAGGCACCACTGTACTATGCTTCTTCAAGGCAGAAAGCCTTCACGGAATGGCTTAACATAAAATTTTGCTAGTATAAGCAAAGAAAAATAATTAATTTTATTTTTAAAAAAATCCCTGGGTATGTTTCTGTTCCGTAACTAGGTTTCCAGTACTGGAAGATTGGTTGCTTCCAAATTGGGGGAAATAGGCAGGCATGGCCTGCAGTGATCAGGAAGGAGATGAAAATTGGTTGGGAGAGCATTTGGATGCTCTGCAGTTTGCTCTGTCCTGAATTACTTAATATTCATAAGAAGATGTGGGATTGGTTGGGGATCACTTGAGCGGTCAACATGGCAGGCAGAAAAGGGGAGAGGAGCCATAGCTTAATGCAGTGCTTCTCAACCTTAGGTTCCCAAGATGTTCTTGGATTGGAGCTGCCAGAAATCTTGGTCAGCAAGTGAAGACTTCTGGAAATTTTAGTGCAAGAACATCTGTGGACTCAACGTTGGGAATCACTGGCTTAAGGGAAGAGTTTTACTTACAGAAGGTGGCCTCCAGATTCCACCCATAACCTTGGATCAGGTAGCAACGTGCTGGACTCTTGCATCTGTTTGATTTCACTTCTCCTCTGCCCATCTTCCTGCAGGCCATCTCTCGCTTATGTGAAGACAAATATAAGGACTTCCGGAAAGCTGCAAAGAAACGATCCGTCAGTTCGGACAATCTGACTGTAGTTAGATGGTCACCTGCTATTATCTCCTAACAGTGAAGTCCCAGGATAGTTGCCCCAGAAGTACTGTTTCTATCATCAACTTTGGGCGTCCAGGGGTGTTTTTGTTCTTTTTTTCCTTTTCATTCTTGGTTTTTCTTATTTTTTTACACCTGCCTTTACAGTGCCTCCCCCGTTGTGTAGCATACAAGAATATACATAGGTATAAAAGGAGAGAAAAGTGCACTATTTTGAACGGAGTCCGGAAAGAAAATCTGCTTCGTTATTCGCGACAAATGGTGTCCTTTTTCATGTTGAAAAGGCAGGTGCATATTTATGCTTAGAAAAGGAGAAAACAGAATCCACCAGGTGTGCCGTTAAAAGAAGGAAAAGGTCTTCTGCAGAAACGGTGGTGTGAAAAGAAAACCCACAATATGAACTCCGAAGAAGCACGATAAAAAAGGAGTTGGATACGTTTCCCATGGTCTTCAAGATGTCTCAGTTCTCTGGCTTTTATGCCTTTCTGCTTGCTGTTGGCTTGGGTTGCTTTTCCTTCCTCTACAAGGCAGCAGCTGCGAGGAAGACAGTTTCTACAGTAGCACAAGAAAATCCTCTGGATCGGACCGGCCCTGGTTATTTGCTTCTCTCCCCACCCAGCCAGCCTGCTGTGCTTTTCTTCATTAGCTGTTTTTATTAGTTTTCCTCCCCTTTAATTATGATGTACTTTTTCTTTCTTATATGCCATTGTTGTATTTTTGGAAATACACGTTTGACTTGATTCATAGTGCTGAACCAAAAGTATACAAAAAAAAAATCAGGTGATCGTCATGTCTTTTGCTTTGTGGATTTGTTGGGTTTTTTTAATTTATAACAGCTGTGTCCATGATGCTGCTCCTCTGCTGTGTCATGAATACTGGCTGTTTCCGTCATAATATATGCGGCTGCATGTGCCTTCCTGCATTCTTTGGGATAGTTTATTTTTCCGTAATATAAAAGTTATGATTGTTAGAAGGATTCAGATGACAGTGAAACCCTGGGCCAGAGAGGTGAAGATTGAATTGGATATGGTTTTCCTCCCAGCCCCCACCCCCTTTTTGGTGCAAGTTTTTCTTAGCATTTAGAGATTTAGCAGAATTTAAGCAAGAGAGACCCAGAGAGAGAGAGAGAGAGAGAGAGCATCTCCTTTTGTATGGCCCAGTTGATTTCCTTCACTTCCTGGTTCAATGTTGCAAGCAATAGCCTCAAGTTTTTTATATGTTTACTTTAAATAAAAACCAATCTGTTTGTATAAAATAGAAAAAAAAATTAAAAAAAAGTTTTGTTCTAGTGGGAAAGGGTCCATGGAAGAAGAAGAAGAAAATCTATATTAATTTTATGAAGTGTTTTGTCACAGGTTAGATTTCAGAATAACAACTGTTTAAAAATTGCATTTTTCAGTGTAGGTGCTTATAGAGGTTTAAACAAAATGCAAACTGTGAAGAAAATTTTGTTGCTTTTTTTGACTGTCTTATTACTACTGGTTCTGCCCTTCCTTTCCTGAGCCAGATAAACATGTTGAATATATTTTAAAAACACACACAAAGAGTAAATCACTATCACTTTAAAAATACTTGAGCTCTGTATAAGTGTCTGAATTATTTTGCACATTTGAGAAAGATGCCATTTTTTCAAAATAAAAATAGTAAAAATGAATAAACCATTTTCAGCATAAAAATGAATAAACCAAAATTGGCTGTAAAGTTCACAAAATCATGGAATTCCGTGAACTTACTCCCCTGTGCAAGAAGTACTGAAACAGATAACACTAAACTGTCTCTATCTCAAGATTTTGGAAAAGTTACTGCATGGGCGTAACTTTCTGAATTCTTGTAGTCCAAAAAGTAACTTTTCCTAGCTCTGAATAGACTTCACTTTATGTGAGTGAAACAGACAAAGCTGGAGATTCTTCCGCACCATCCGCCATTCCATGTGTATAGTTATGCCCCACTTGTTTTATTGGGGACTGTACAGGATGAATGCCCACCAGTACGCTCCTGAGATAGTTCTGTTAGTTTCATTAATAATTCTTGCAGGAAATATATCTGTATACCATATTTTTCCATGTATAAGACCCCTCCCCCACTTTTCTAACCCAAAATTAAGAAATCTAAATGGGGTTTAGCAAGTGTAGGGGGAAAGGGATCAAAGCACTGCAGGATTGCTTTGATCCCTGCTTTCCCCCTTCATGCTAAACCCTGCCGGGCTTAGCAAAAAGAGGGGGAAAGGGATCAAAGCAATCCCGCAACTGCACAATCCTTTTGATCCCTTTCCCCCTTATACAGCCACGGGATTGCTTTGATTCTTTCCCCCTCCTTTTGTTACAGTAAGCCCCATGGGACTTAGCAAGCAGAGGGGAAAGCAGGGATTAAAGCGATCCTGCAGTGCTTTGATCCCTGCTTTCCTTTCGCTAAGGATTAGCAAGTGGAGGGGAAAGCAGGGATCAAAGCCCTGCAGGAACAATTTCATCTCTGCTTTCCCCTCCACTTTTTTTGTACTCTCCCCAGCTTACTTCCATGTATAAGACAACCCTCAATTTTTAGTCTAAAACTTTTAGACAGAAGTATAGTCTTATACACAGTAACTTCTCTTATCTGGTGTCATTGAGCCTTAAAACATCAATTTATTATTTACTTGGCAGTAAATTCTGAACAAAACAGTTTTCCTTGTCAGGGGAACATCTTCAGTGCTCTGATCTGGGGGAATAGAAGCACCGTCCCATCTTTTTTGGTCTCTGTTTTTGGTGAGTTTGGAACCAAAGAAGAAACATGCCTACAAACCTGAAACTTTTCATTTGGTCTTTTCAGATAAGCAGGCTTGCTGCTTTTCTAACCAAATGGCTATATGTTTCTTGTGAGTGTTGATATCCTTAGTAGAGATGGACACAAACCTCAGTTTGGAGGTTCATTCCGGTTCGTACCTGTGGCACAACAGGTGCCACACATTCCCTTCCACTGCCTAGCTGGCCAATGGCCTACTCACTAGTTGGAGCACACTCCTCTGCTCCTCCTCCTCTTAGGTTGTTCGACCAGTCCCCAGCAGTCCATGGGTTTGGCTGTCCTGTCTCCTTGGCTAAGTGGGAGATGAGTCAAGGAGGTGGGGCATGGAAGCCCACACTTCTGCTGGAGACTGGTCGAACATCTGAAGAGGAGGAGGTGAGGAGCATGCGCCAGCTGGCAAGTGGGGTATCCAGCCAGGGAGGTGGGGGGAAGGGAATGCACAGCATGAACCTACAAACCAAGGTTCATGCCCATCTTGGGATCTCAGCTATCAAGTACAGGTTGACCTTAGGGATGCCTATCCCCAGCTGTCTCACAAAGAGCTTTGAAAGGTTAATTTTTAGGAATGTGTCACCATGACTGTGCTAGCTGGGGTATTTCAATTACAGGTTGGTGAGGGACTCTTATTTCTTTAAAAGAGCCTCTGTGTTTCTTCTCTTAGTACTGAAGTGTCCAGTCAGGAGTGCAAGGAAGCTACTGTTTGATTGTGCCCTGGAAGTGCTTAGAATCAGAGCACTGAAGCTTTCATCAGACAGTAGACCCCTTATGATGGTATTTGCCTTAAAAGGGTAGCACACTAATAAGTTTGCATTGCTACTAACTATTCCCTACTAGTTTTCTAATATCTATTGAATAAACTGAAGACTTAACCCACTTCTATTCCGTGGTCCTAAATTCTCATTCCTTTTTACTGCAGTTGTGCCAATATATAAAACCTTTTGATTACACCAGGTCAGGGTTTTGAGGCCTTTTTCCCCCTGGTTATCCTTCCCTCTTGCCTTTTCCTTTTTTTTTTCTTGATTAAAGTCATATGAAAGTTTTTGTATCAATACTTTGAGGAACTATGTTTCAGCTGACTTCTTTAGCAAAAGCATTGTTATTCCTCACTTTGGGATGAAGGCAGGAAAAGACAGAACGGAAAAGTTTGCATTATGTAAAAGTTCTCAATGCATCTACTATAATTTTGTGAAGTTTATTAAACAACTTTAAAGACTGTACAGTCTATTTATTGTATGTATGTACATACAGTCTGATACTTAAAATTTCAAGTGGATTCCGTAAAACCTGGCTGAGTCTTGTTAGACTATTGGATATCGTTTTAGCCTTGTGCACTGGATTCTACCTCTGTATAGGAGAATTTTCCATATTCTTCAATTAGTACTGATTCTGTGATTTAACTTGGTTATGTTTCTTGCACTAAAAATTAAAAAAAGAAAGAAAAGAAAACTGCTGTTACATATGGGTTTTTCCACTCATTTTTCAGTGTTATGTTTTTGAAAGATCAGTTATTCTGAACAGTTAAAAAGCAGACTGATTTTGCTGTATGGTTCTGTCATGTTCTGGAATTTTTATTTCAGCTTGTTTAAAGGTTGCAAAAAACAACCAACCCACCCAAAGAATCCTGTATAGGAATCCTGGTTTGTTCCCTTCTGTTTTTGGCGTGCTGGCACCTCAAAGCTGTCCTGTTTCGTGCCCATCAGTGAACCAGTACTGAATCCCTAAACTTTATCTAACAAATGCTGTCTTTGACAAGAATTAGTCTTGCTGGAGTAGAAATAGGGAAAGTTAGTTTTGGGGGGAATTATAATCCCTGTGTCCAGCACCGACACTGGTCATCACATTTTGTTACAAAAATGTAATTCTGCCCTCTCTTCTGCGGGTGAGAGGAGCTAGAAAAATGATTTTGACTAAACAGCAATACTGTATAGCCATTTGTCTGTGTTCATGTCTCTATAAATTATGAGACTTCATGAAGGTGCAAGATCTTGAGCAAGTATTTTGCTTGTACGGCTATGAAGTGCACTTCAAAATGGATGGCAAAAAGCTGCCAAAATCTGATAGCCAAGAGGGGTGGTATACAATTCCAAGATGGTGGTAACAGGGCTTCAATAGCACAGAGGACGCATGGTTTTCTTAATGAGTAGCAAAAGTGGAGAAAAACAGTATGTGAAATGGGTGTAAATTCCAGTGGAGAAAGGATGCGTTTCAGCTTCTACAGCTACATGTTTTCACCTCATTGTGGCTTTCATGAAGGTGCAAGATCTTGAGCAAGTATTTTGCTTGTACGGCTATGAAGTGCACTTCAAAATGGATGGCAAAAAGCTGCCAAAATCTGATAGCCAAGAGGGGTGGTATACAATTCCAAGATGGTGGTAACAGGGCTTCAATAGCACAGAGGACGCATGGTTTTCTTAATGAGTAGCAAAAGTGGAGAAAAACAGTATGTGAAATGGGTGTAAATTCCAGTGGAGAAAGGATGCGTTTCAGCTTCTACAGCTACAGGTTTTCACCTCATTGTGGCTGGCCTGTAGTAGTAAGGCTGGAAGAGGGCATGGAAGAACCTCCCCAAAGGGTACGGGGACTGTGAATACATTCAAGCATCCCCCGGCCAATGACAGGTCCTTTTCAGCTCATCCTTCCAACTCCGGAAGCACCACTGGATTGTTTTCTGACACAAAAAAAGAAGAAAGGTTGGAACAACTGTATTCTGTAAGTCCTCTCACTTTCTGTTCTCTCTCCTTCAGAGCAGATGGATTTTCGAGACAATTTTGAGTCTCCAAAATCCAAAGGGACCCTTCTCTTTGGCTCTGCTCCAAGAGCAGCGGGTAGAATAACTGCTGGTTCTTTTGCCATTTTGGGTTTCCATGTACTTAATGTGGTCTCTGTGTAGCCACCCATCTTTGCTCTTCATGTGAGTCGGAGGAGTTGAATGGATTGGGCTGGTCTTGCCTCCTCTTCAAAGTCTGCATAGCGGTTCCTATGAACATCTCTGGAAGCTTTGGTTCTCGTTCTCTCTCTCTCTCTCTCTCTCTCTCTCTGTGTGTGTGTGTGTGTGTGTGTGTGTGTGTGTGGTTCATGCATACACCATCCTATATACAGGAGATCACCACCGAACTTTCCAGGTAAGGAGACCTGTTTCATAGCCATCACACCCTTCCGCTATCATACCTTTGATTTTTTTTGCCCCAGTTAAAATGGAGCTTGTGTTTAGCAACAGCTGCTTTACTTGCCAGCATTTGGTGCCATCTTGCTACTATCTCTCTGTCTTCAATGGCTCCAGAACAATCTCTTCGTTCATTCACTCTGAATAAACAGTTAGGGGCTTTGTCTTTTCACACAGCCAAAGGAGAAACTCAAGAAATGTGTAGAGGAGTTTTGTTTTTAAGACTGTAGTTTAAAACCCATTTAATCATGTTCTTGCTGATATCAGGGCTAAAATAATGAATCCTTTGTGAATGCTCACATTTCACGGTTTAGGAGTGGTACGAAATATACGCATATAATGCTTGGAACAAAAACTAGTCGTTTAGGGCTAAATCCAACTGTAGTAGACCCATTGAAATCTATGTGATTTATGCTACCGTTCATTAGTTCTGTGTAATCAGTGGGTTTACTCCTTCATTTAAAAACAAATAAAGCTTTTTAAAAAACATCCAACATCATAACAGATACATCAAAATTAACAATACTCCTTGTGTATTGAGTGGAAGATCTTCACTGTTTCTCGGTATTTATGGAACTTATGTTCTGAACAACCTCCCAACTTTGAAGCATATTGTCACCTTTTAGTAACTGGTCACAGGAGGGGCAAACCTTTGGCACTCCAGATGTTTGGAACTATAAGGTCTCAGAACCCCCAGTTTGTATTGCCAGTGGGTGTTGTAATCCAAAACATCTGGAGCCCCAGAGGTTTGCCACCCTTGTGTCTAGTGACTAGTAAGAGGCACCTATGTTGTTCAAAGTTGGCTAGTGGCTCAGTGTAGTTCTTGCTGGGCCAAGGCCTGGTGTTATGAATTAACAAATTTTTATATCTCAGTGAATAACTAATTATTGATGGCTTGCCATTCTGTAATTGCTGGCTCCTGAACTAAAACAAAACACTCATCTGAATGGAGTGGCCATGCTTTTTGCAAGCTGTTATTTACTCATGCTCCAAGGGGATTGTAGGTTTGATTTGGAAGTTCTCCCATGGATTTAAAAAAAACCCCTCTGTATAACTTAAATCAGTATGTCAGAAAGAATAGCCAAGCCTTGTTATCAGTGTCAGGGCTGCCACCATCCACGGTATAAGCCATGCATGATGCCCTGGTGGTTATATAGGCTTTCAGAAGGATTGATGCTGTCACAGAGACAATATTTTTACACTTTGCTTTGTGGTCTCTATGTTCCTAGCCTTTTCCGGGCTCTATGTATTCGAGCACTTATTCCAGCATCCAAGACTGAGGAGGGCCATGCCTAACAGTACTTCCCTATGTGTGTGCAAACAAATGCCTTCAGAGTGTAACACACCATTGTTGCATGGTCTTGCAAGCAGTAGACTATGTCTAGATGGGCGGCATATAAATGCAATAAATAAATAAATAAATAAAATATCGTTGGGTGAACGGGCAAGCCTGAGATTTTGCAGCAGTTCGGAAGGATATAACTAAGTTGGTTTGTTTTTCTTTTCTCTAGAAGATAGGACATCTTGTTTAAAGTACAATGTCAGTCAATGCAATTGTTAGAGTGTATGTGGAGGGATGTTTCGAAAAATTGTTGTGGGAAGCAACCTGTCGTACAGAGAGACATGTTACTTCCAGCACAGAGACATGGTAGATCTCTGATCCCCAGCCTTTCTGTTACCGTTTCCCCGAAAATAAGACCTAACCTGAAAATAAGCCCCAGTATGATTTTTCCGGATGCTCGTAATATAACAAAATACCACAAAAATAAGCCCCAGTGAAGCAAAACACCCCCCCTCCACCATTGTGCAGCAACCAGAAGATGACATGACTGTATCTGAATCAATGTAGATGGTTGCACTTGACCAGAAGATGACATGACTGTATTTTAATCAATGTGTAGATGGTTGAACTTGACAATAATAAAACATCCCCTGAAAATAAGCCCATATGCGCTTTTTGGAGCAAAAGTTAATATAAGACCCTGTCTTATTTTTGGGGAAACACGGTAACAAAAGGTGGGCTAAACAGCACTTGAGGTGAAGAGCAGGTTTTGCCACCCAAGTATGATCCATTGACCTGGACGGATTGCTAAAGTCAGGATCTTGCGTTTATGCATATGTATATGTTTCAAGGAACACATATTTCCTCTGTAGGGGGAATTCCACCAGGAAACATGGCCCTTGTTATTTATGTATCCTTGTTCCCCATGTTATCCATTTTTATCACCCTGGAAAAACGAAGCTGCTTCTATTATTTCTTCTACTACTTGATTTCTCTTTCACCGCAAAACTATCCCAGCAATTTCAGGAGGCTGGAATGCCCCTGGGAGGGTAAGAATAGCCAACAATGGCAGAGATAATTCCTGCTGCCTTTTGTCTCCTTGCAGTTGTCGGGGCAGAGGTGAGAGCCGTGAATCAGATTGGGGCGCTCTTGAATTTGACTGTCCTCCCTAAGAAACACTTGTTTTTTTCTCTCTACCACCTTGGGAAGCCTAATTTCATTGCTTCTCTTTCTGGTTAGATTTTAAGCATTTCTCCCCCACTGCTGCTACCTCCATGTTTTCCCCCCCACTCCATTTAGATTTTTGTCGTTTTTGAAATCACTTAATTTCTTCTTATGCCTTCTGTAAGTGAGGATTCTTGGAACTGAACATGGAATGTGGGGACTCGCTTGGCTTCTTAATCATTGCTCTCAGCTACAATGTGACTGTCATAGGTGAGTATGTTAAAAACGTGCATCTAAATCATTACTTAAGTTTGGCATTGTTTGTGAAAGTTGCATCCCAAAACTTTTTGGCTGTGTTGTATGCTATTTGTAAAACACGCTCCTCTTAATAGTAGCACTCAAAAGATGGCTCTGCTATGAATCATGTTAATTGGGACTGAAGACTATTTTCCTTTATTAATTGTAATGGGAATGGCTTTTCAATTACTGTAGTTACTTGATGTAATATATATGAAGATGGCAAAAAATGTTAACAGCCTGAATTCAGTATGATGCGTGTAATACTGTAACTCATTTATTACCAGTGCGATAGTTAAGATGGTAAGAATGCTTCTTGAAGAAACTTGATGAGCTTCTGTTGGCCCTAACGGTTGGTTATGTAAAAATTTGCCATTTAAGCTGAGTTTAAAATATACTTTTAGGGTAGGAATGAGCTGGGATTCCTCCTTGATCAAAATAAGAATTCTGACTGATTGATTTGTGAGACAAGATATTCTCTTGACTCTTTCAGACTGTTTCAGATGTTACAAGTAGCTTCTAAATTATACGACCAGAATCTTCTACTCTTGTGCAGTGGAAAATTATGCACTGGTGTTTAAACGAGAGACGTTTAAACGAGAGATTGGCGACTTCTTTGTGCATGTAGAAGCCCTGTAGCTTTCTACCGGTTGGTCTCTCTGTCTTGCACAACTGCCAGACAGATCACACAATGCTTGGTGGCATTACATTCCACTAACAGGATACTGGCCTGTATATTTATTTCTTTACAGCGCATTCTTGGAGTATTGCTCCAATCCGTGCATAACAAGGAGGCATTAGGACATTTTAACTGGTCAAAACACTGATAGACATGTCGCAAATATTTATGGAAAAAGCCCAATGGGAAGGATTGAGCCTGCTTATGCCGTCTGACTCTTGGTGGTGGTGGGGAATAGGAAACTGAGAAGTCAGGAAGAATAAAAGATTCCAGAAGAGGGCCTGGTTGGTGAGCTAATACTCATGAATGGCACAGACCACTGACCTGCAAAGTTGTGTTTTATGTTTTGCTATACCATGTAACAAATCCAGCATTTCTCCTACCTAGATCATTGTCTTCCAGAAGACATGCCTGTTCACTCACTTCCAGACTTTTTAGTCCAGACAACCATCACTGGTCTGAGCATCATCATCAATATATTTGGTACATGAATGTATTTAAGGATAGCTGATTTCAGGCGTCTCTCTTGGATCCCAACCGGATGCCAGAATAGTGAAAAAGTGAACAGTGTCTACCTTGTGTACCTTAGCCACATTCTTCTATTGGTGGCAAGACACAGGTATCTGTGAAGAGCAATGAAGTTGAATGCCACACCTTCATTATGCAGCCTATCTATTTGCACCCATATGTGACAGAAAAGAAAAATCTGTTGAGGATTTTAAGGGGTCATGAAATCTTAGGTACCTAGGAAGCTGCCGTCTACCAAACCAAATCAGTGGTCCATTCAGCACAGCACCTGGATGGACTATTGATTTATTTTAGTCAAAGGCAGCTTCCTAGAAAAAGCCCAGAAATCCATACTATTCAACAATGATCAACATGGCTTTCCAGGCAAACTCTTTTCCTATGTGGAGATCCTTGGTACATATTCCATTTTTGTTCCCTGTCCAAGACCTGATCCTGTTTTGTTCCCAAACTGAGACAAGATTGAGAGCCTTCAGTTATCAGATGAGTATTGATCCTTATTTGAGCTATTAAGGACTCTCTACCCCTGTCTTGGATGGTAGGTGAATGAATCTTTGGTGAACCTATCCTGACGTTTCCCTGGATCTAGAATTAAAATGAAGATCTTCTTCAAAATTAGTTACCAGCCAGGCTCATAAATTCATTATGGTTTCACGGCATGACATGATGAGGATGTCTCTGCTTTTATTGATCAGTTCTCCACTTTGTTTCTCCTTTCCAGGAAAAATATGGCTAACCCTTGTGATCTTGCTGAGATTCATGGTGATTTTCCTGGCCGCCTATCCGCTCTACCAAGATGAGCAGGAACGCTTCATCTGCAACACGTTACAACCAGGATGCTCTAACGTCTGCTACGATATTTTTGCTCCGGTATCACACTTCCGTTTCTGGCTCATTCAGACGGTATCTGTGCTGCTCCCTTATGCTGTGTTTGGTGTCTGTGTCTTGCACAGTGTAGTCAGGCAGATGGTGAAGGCATATTCCTCCCCTTACCATCGGTACAAAGAGACAAAAACTTCCATGGGCCACAGAGGTACAAAGAAATCATTCAAAGGGGCAACAAAGAACAGAATTGCCTACATGTCAAAAGAAATGGATATTCCTGATTTTTCAGGAGCTTACACAGTGCAGCTTCTTTTGAGAATAATGATAGAAGCTGGCTTTGGAGCTGGCCATTATTATCTCTTTGGATTTTCCGTTCCAAGACGCTTCTCCTGTAACCAGCTACCTTGCACAAGTTTTGTTGACTGTTACATCTCCAGACCCACCGAGAAATCTATCATGATGCTTTTCATCTGGGGACTCAGCGGCTTCTCATTTCTCCTTAGCCTCGTTGACCTGGTCTTTGCCTTCCGAACCAATGCTGTAAGAAATCAAAGAAGGAAGCTGCTTTTGGAAAGGAACGCCACTGAGGAGAAAGGCAGCCCCAGCCTGTACCAAGCTAACCAGCCCAACAAAGACTTGCTCAACTATGGAAGCACTGCCATCACTGACAACTGTTTGCTTGGCGGTGAAGGAAACGAAACCCACTCCTTCCAGCCCATTTTGACTCCTCAGCAAATGATCAGCACCAACCTCAACAGTAACAGCAATAAATCATGCATTGCAGCTGGCAATCCAGATGCCAAGGGAGTGCTTCCTGAGCAGCCTGAAGCTTTGAATGAGCAATCAAGATACGAGCAACAGCCATGCTCTCCCAAAGGAACGTTGTCTTTTAAATCCCAGAACGGATGCCATCGTAGATCCCATTCATCTGCCAGTTGCAACAAGCCCTCGGTTCATTATTCCATCGTGGAGAGGAAGGCTTCTGACGCACAGTCTGTCTGCAGTAGCGCTGGATGCTCAAGATCCAAAAAATCTGAATGGGTTTAAAATGTCACATAGGAACATGGATTATTGAGCTGCTTGCATTCTCAAAAGGCTGCTTCTGTACCACTGCCACTATAGTAGGATTATCATTGCTAATATTGGAAGCGACATAGGAGGTGTTTGGTTTCTTAGTTTTGCAATATTATTATAGATAGGCTTTTAGTAAGAGGTTCATAAATGTAGTGTATTCTCATGATGGATGGAGCCACTTATTTTACCACTAAGCAGAGTATCTAAGCTGTAGATTTTAAAGAGAAGGTGATCTCCTTTTATACAATGCAGTTGCAGGAGTAGGTGATACCTTTATAGAACAGTAAAGAAATCATACAGTCTGCTAGCTTTTGTAGATCAGATGTCTGCTTCCTTGGGCGGGCTGCACCAGCGTCTTAGAGTCCAAAGGTTCTCGGCTTTTGCCAGATTTTTTGTCTAATAGGTAACGTAAGTTGGAGAGGGTGCAGGCTGCATTAAAGTTGTGGTTTTGAAGTTACAGCTGAGGAAGCTATTGATTGGATATCACACCCCATTTCTTCAAACAAACAAGACTAGGCCTTTTATACAACTACTCTTACACAAAGGGAAAAACACTTACTAACTTCACCCCATCCCTCCATTGTGTCCCTGTTATGACCACTCCACACTGACGCATCCCATCTAGGATGATCTGAAGGTGGAGTTTGTTCTACATGGTAGCTTCCTTCTCTCGATGTCTTCCTCTACCTCCATTTTCTTTGTGTCCTTATTCTGTATGAGATTGCAAGACATGATTTTTCCTTTCTGAATTGGTGTTTGAGCATGATACCCCTTCCCAAATGAACCCCTTTTCATAATGTGCACATTTATTTGTGCATTTCATTGAGCACAGATACTTTCCCTTCATTGGCTGAAATGTTTGTGAGGGATGGTTTTTTTAAAATTTCTTAGACTTCAAATCCCATAATCCCCCATTCTGACTTACACCTTACAGAGACCTAAATGTGGCTCACTCAGGAGAAAAGGCCTAAACTGGGAGGCTTTAAGATAAACTAGGCCTTGCTGTGCCCAACTTCCTGTTCCTGCCTTGGTTCTAGCTGGCAGCTTTCTTTGTGAACAGGAAGCTAGGTGAAGCTAGTACTGTACTATCTGAGCCCTAAATACTTCCAGTTTGGGCCTTTTGTCTCAGTTGAGCTATATTTAGGCATGCGTAAGGTATGTGTAAGTCAGGTAGAACTCCCAGAATGGAGAATAATGGAATTTGTAGTCTAAGAAATAAAAAAGCCCCATCCTTATATGTTTGTACTTAGGAAAGTATTCTGGTTGAAGGTTGTATTCTTCTGCGGTGTCAAAATCCAAAAGCAAGGTGAGCAAGAATTCCTCTGCTTTTCAGCGCTTCACCAGGTTCTGTTCCTACCTTCTCCAGATAGAAGAAATGGGCAGAATTATTTCATAATAAGCAAATATGAGAGAACTAGAGATGAACTTGATGGTTCAGCGCCATTCATTTACTGGCTAAGGGGCAGAACCACAGATCAGCTCTTCAACCAGTAAATGAACTTTGCCATACTGGTGATTTGTGCCCATCACTAGAGTGAACTAGTTATTATTAATTATTATCATTTGCTGAGCTATCAGGTCTGATTTCTTTTTCTTGACAAAGTCTATGGAGAATTTAGAATTCCAAATCTTTGGAATGGAGAGTGGCACCCTGGCCCAATTTGTCAGTTGTGTATTCTTTTCACATAGTAACTCCATTGTACACAGACTACAACATTGTACACAGGGGGCTTCTTTGCTTGTTCAGTGGAAGGAACCCGGGCACATCTTTTCTTGTTTCTGGAGATGAAAGTACAGAAACTTCTCTGTGCACATGGGTGTTCATGCACATACTCAAGGATCTTGACCAGTATATATTTTATAGTTATGAAGGAAGAAAGCTGAGACAAAACAACAGCAACAAACACCTCTTAAACACCAATTTCTGGAGCTAATGTGACAACCCTAAACCATCTACAAGGGAGGAAGAGTTCAGATTGTGGTAACATGACTCTCTAGTTATTATTGCAATGCAACTCCTGTGTTGACTTAGCCAACACAGCCACTGGTGAGGGATGATGGGACTAGGGCCCAACCACAACTGGAGGCCCAGAAGTTCTCCGCTCGTGTTTTGAGATTGTTTTGATACCTTCCTAGATGGTTTGTGTAAAATAGTAATTCTTATTCATAACTTTTTATTAATTTGAAGTGTATGCATGTTTAAAAGGCAGCATATCTCTTGTGTTTATTTCTGTTGTCATCATTCTTGAAATTATATGTGGAAAATGTGTAGTGACAAGTATTCCTTTTAGATGTATTGCGATAATTTTTCTGGCTGTGCAGGGACTCAATAGCTTCAAGTCTCCCTAGAGTAGACCACCCCCTTTCCCTCTCATTAATTGGTACTCAGTGAGATGTGGTGGCACTGCGGGTTAAACCGCAGAAGCCTCTGTGCTGCAAGGTCAGAAGACCAGCCGTTGTAAGATTGAATCCATGTGACGGTGTGAGCTCCCGTCGCTTGTCCCAGCTCCTGCCAACCTAGCCGTTTGAAAGCATGTAAAAATCAAGTAGATAAATAGGTCCAACCTTGGTGGGAAGATAACAGCGTTCCGTGTCTAATCGTGCTGGCCACGTGACCACGAAAACTGTCTACGGACAAACGCTGGCTCTACGGCTTGGAGACCCCGCACCCTAGAGTTGGACATGACTGCACTAAATGTCAAGGGCAACCTTTACCTTTACAATCTCAATAACTCACTCTGAGATATTAGTAAGAGAAAGAATTTTAAAAAGCATTGACTCACAGTTGAATTGATCAAACCAGAATACTGAACAACAGATCTGAAAATACATATATCAAGAAGACTCCTGCAGACTACATTCTAACTGCATACCTACTAAATGCCAGCAGACTAAAATAAAAAGAGAAAAAAGGATGCTTAAACAGAGAGATTCTCAGAGGCAGGGAAGGACCAATTGGTTACTGCTGGATTGATTGACTGTCCAGAAAAGTCCCTCCCAAGCAAACCTAGTAGAGGCAGCATATGAGGTTGGAATAACTCCTACAGAAGGTACCACTCTCCTTAAACTTAGAACAGGAGCATCATTTTCTCTCCTAATGCTCTTTGAGATATCAAGAGGCCTGCAAGAGATAAGCAGAGCAAATACTACAGTGATCTACCCATTCCTACAGTAACCCAAGCAGATTCTTTGACGTCATAACGCAACCAACCTATACCCAAGAAATGGAAGCCAACTGGCATTTCGCAGCTGGTGCTTTGTAAAAAGTGCAACTTTGTGTGGTCATACAAGGTAGCAAAGTGGGGCCAAGCAAGAGGAAACCTCTGGTCCCGGGAATGGGGACAAATAAAATGCTAGGAAATACCTTGAGGAGCAAGCTGTGAACCCGGCAAACCCCAAGAAGGCATCATGCCTGCATGCCTGCATCCATTCATTTTATTTATACTGCAACATTCTTTCAATAAAGGGAAACCTGGTGATCTTTGAATCCCACGATGGTCTGCTCAGGTCTGAATCCATGAGCACTACAGCCAGATAACATAACCTCATTTACAAATGTTACGTGTTTGCCCACTAAATGCACCTCTGCGCTGATCCTGGACAGACCATTGAACTGTTGCTTCTGTAGCCCATCCAGCCTTGCTCTAGCCTTGATCCTCTACAATTATACAAGGGAAGCAACTGCTGCTGAGTTCGGTGACGTTTTAAAGAACCTCAGTTTTCCTATAAATTTTATAGTCTTAAATTACTTCTGTGGCTAGTATCTTGTACAATATTTATGCATGCAAAGCTCTAACTGCAGAAGCTATCATGGACCTGGAACTCAGTCACATGATCTGGCATGTGACCATGAGTGACGGGTGCCTCATCAGATGGTCATGCTCCACAACTGAAACTTCATGAGCAGGATCCCGGCTTATATGAATAAATGCAGTGCCAATACTCATTAACTGATCTGTCAAACCCAGAAAAAAAAATCTTATGGCAACTTAAAGATAAAGAAGTTTTATTCGGCATAAACTTTGATGGACCATCCTCGAGTTTGATTCTCTATCTGAAGAAATAGGCTACAATCCATGTTCTTCTTTTAAAGGGTCACATCTTTGCTGTTTTCGCTACAACACACAGCTGCCTCCTTGGAAATGACTAATCTACTTCATTGTCCTACAAGAACTTCACACCTCGGCTTTATTGTGCTAGAGTGTAAGATTTAAAGGCTGTATCCAACTACTTCTCTCTGTCAGCTGGTGGAAACACAGAATTGTGCCCCAAGCATTCCACATCTGCTCCAGAATGTTTCTGAGTAAACCATTTCTCAAGAGAAAATTGGGCAACCATCTGTCAGATCTGCATTGATTTGGATTCTTGCCTTGAGCAGGGGGTTGGCCTCCATAGCCTTTTAGGCCTTTTCCAACTCAATGATTCTATGATGTTATGATTCTGTGATTTCATGACGCATCTACTTTGCTTGTAATGTGCCACCCGTAGCCTTCAGTACTGTACAGAGTTTCCTAAACATGAGACCCCCGGAACTCAATGAATTTGGCCTTAGTAGGTGAGCACAGGACTGATGTATAAGAGGCCACATTAAAAGCCTGTGTTTTGAACACAACACAGTTGGTGTCTCCACAGGAAATCCTACGGTCAAAAACATGCAAAGGAAACCAGCCCTTGATATTCCATAAAGAATGCAAGCTAACCGCTCGGATTTGAAACATTGCATCAGATCATCTGAACAAGGAATGGGGTGGAAAGTACTGAAGCTTTTCCCAAAGAGCCTGGACTGGAAGACAGTCCAAGAGTTGCAGGAGAGGGCTGGAGCAAGCCGACGATACCTCTTCTTTCTCTGAAATTTGCTCACATCAGCCTGCTACCAGCTGAAGTAAATTATAGTCGTATAAGGCGAGAGCTGAAATGTGCCTTCGCAAATTGTCATATTATTTATTTTGCAGGAGTGAACGGAAACACCCGTTTCTTGAACTGTTACTATTCAACATCAACATTTCCTCCAATGTTTATGCCAAGTATTATTGAGATTTATGATCCCTGGCAGAAGAAAACAAGCTAAACTTTTCATTGGAGCCCTCAGCAAAGGGAAATGCCTGTAATTAAAAAAAAAAGAAGCTTGACTCAACATTTCCTGGGCACTGTGTATTCACTTCCAATTCATTTTCATACCATCCCTCAAAATTTACTGAATGAAATCTTGGGTTTATTTCTAGCCATGGACAAGGATGGACTTTAGGCCCTTCAAACTTTGGCAAACTCTCCAATGGCACCACTCGTCATCGCTTAGGCCTTCCACGCCTCACAGAGGTTTTTGGTACTCCTGGGCCACCAATTCGCTGGCAGTCCTGCCACTTATTCCCACAGCAACACACATATCTTCTCAGGTGGAATAACACACATCAGCCTGCAGCTCCAAAATGGCGGCGATTATCACAGAAAGCTTTTCTTCCTTGGGTAACCAACCAAATTCTCAGTGGACAACAGAGACGCAGAGAAGTGGAACTTGCCTAAATATTGTAACAGCTGCTTCCTATCATTTGAAGATCTCACTGGGATAATAAGGCAGTAAGACAGGGCATCCGACCAACCAAATTCTCAGTGGACAACAGAGATGCAGAGAAGTGGAACTTGCCTAAATATTGCAACAGCTGCTTCCTATCATTTGAAGATATCACTGTGATAATAAGGCAGTAAGACAAATGAGAAAACCTTTGGGTCTCGCTATGTGGGTTTGGCCCTGTAGAGAGGGTAGTGGTTTTAAAAGGTCATGTTT